CTGCTGGAAAAGACAGTGCACAATGGTGACGTGGCATGGAAAACCGAGATCGGGTGGGTCCTGCTAGGCCCAGACCGTCGTCCTGCACCACCCAGCTCAGTAGTGGTGTCCTGTATCGATACGAAAATCGAACGGCTCTGGCAGATGGAGCAGCCGCCCAGTGCGCCTACACGCGGACCAGAGTTTCCGGTCGAAAGAATTGGCACTCAGTACCAAGTCGGCCTGCTGTGGCGGTCTGACAAGCGCCCTGCGGAAAACCTCAGTCAAGCAGTGGCCGCAGCTAGTAGCCTGCTCAAGCGTCTCAAAGGCAACGGGAAGCGACAGCTCTATGATGACGTACTACTCCGCGAATACGGCGAGTTGGGTGCAATCGAGAGGGAGCCTAATCCCAACGAACCAGGCTACTACATGCCACATCGAGCAGTGTTCAGAGAGAATGCTGCTACAACCAAGACACGCGTAGTGTTCAACGCGTCGGCGTCAATGCGTGGCAAAGACTCACTGAACAACCTGCTCGATCCAGGACCGTCACTCCTGCCAGATCTGGTCGGGCTGCTGCTCAGGTTCCGCGAGTATCGCTTTGCTGTCCAAGCCGACATCAGGAAAGCCTTTTTTATGATCGGTATCCGGGAGGAGGACAGACCATACCTGCGATTTGTGTGGCCTAAGGATAGCGGTGACGAGATGTGTATCTGGCGGCTTACCAAGTTGCCATTCGGCGCCAACTGCTCGCCCTTCATTCTCAACGCAGTACTGCTGCACCATCTGGACGGCCTGATAGAAAACGCTACCTCAGAAGCGGAACGTACCGTGCTAGCGCTGCTACGTGACAGCTTTTATGTCGACGACACAGTGGTCAGCGTGCCGGACCTCGGCCAAGCGGAACAGTTTAAGGAGCTCAGTGTTGCCGCTATGCAGAGCGCGGGCATGGAGCTCAGGAAGTGGCGAGGCAATGGCATAGCTAGCGACCCCGAAGCGGGCGAGAAGGTGCTAGGTGTCCCATGGCAATCCGAGGATGATGTCCTAGCAATAGCCTCTATTGGTGACCATGACGATAGCAGCAACTCACAGTGGTCTCGGCGTCATCTGCTTCACTGTGTGGCGTCAGTGTACGATCCAATGGGCTTGGCAGCACCTGCAGTGCTGCCGGGCAAGATCCTGCTCCAGACGAGCTGGAAGCTGGGCGGGACATGGGACCAGCCGCTCCCCAGTGACGTCGCAGCGAAGTGTACCCAATGGTGGGGAGGGCTGTCCAACCTGCCCGCAGTAAAAGTGCGCCGCTGGAGCGGATGTAAGCCCGACTCCAACGTATCACTTCACGTCTTCGCAGACGCCTCGGAGAAGGGGTACGGATGCGGCATTTACCTGGTGACAGACAACACGTCGTGCCTGCTCTTCGGAAAGAGCAAGGTAGTGCCTCCAGCTGCACCCACACTCGCACGCCTCGAACTCCAAGCAGTGTGTCTGGCGTCGCGATACATCAAGTTCGTCGTGGATGCCCTGCGCGTGCCGGTGGATGGCATCTATGGCTGGACGGATAGCATGACTACACTGCAATGGATAACGAGTCCCCCGTACCGGTGGAAAACATACGTCGCTAACCGCGTGACGGCTGTGCAACTTACCGCCAAGGAACTGGGCGTCACCTGGAACCACTGCCCCGGCAAGATGAACCCGGCAGATCTTGTCTCCCGCGGCACGACGGTAGATGGCCTCACTAGCAGCGAGTGGCTGCATGGTCCACAGTGGATCATAAACCCAGCAGCATGGCCAGCAGCGCAGACCTGGGAACCAACCAACAAGCCCACCCCCGAGCAACGCGTCAACGCCGTGTCCATCGAGCCGACAGTCAAGTGGTGGGAACGCCTCTCGAAGTGGTCAAGAGTCGAGGGTGTGATCACCCGCATCCTGCAATGGAGACATACTTCCAAGTCGCGGGCGGAGCTCAAACCCCTCGCAGAAGCAGCGTTGTATCGAGTCGTCCAGCGAGACCTGTTCTCTGACGAGATCGCTGCTATCCGAGATAACAAGCCAGTGCCAGCCAGCTCCAAGATCAGTCAACTAATGCCGTTTATTGACGAGAAAGGAGTGCTCAGAGCAGGTGGTCGGCTGGAGCTCAGCGAGCTGCCATACGAAACTAAGCATCCTGTCATCCTCGGACAACATCATGTGACAACGCTACTCATGGAACTCGCGCACGTGCAACAGATGCACAGTGGTGTGGAGAACGTGTTGGCCTCGCTCCGACAAGATGTGTGGGTACTGGGTGCGCGACGAGCATTGCGTAGCATCACCCAACGCTGTGTGGTGTGTAAACGCTACAAGTCTGCTGCAGCCACAGAAATCAGTCCTCCACTACCACCCGACCGAGTTGTACACAAGAAGCCATTTGGTCTGACAGGGATCGACTACGCCGGTCCGATAGTGATTCGGGACACCGATCAAGTCCGCAAGATATGGATAGCCCTGTTTGTCTGCGGCACAACCCGAGCTGTGCATCTCGAGACCGTGGACAGTCTGTCTACCGAGGCTTTCCTGCTGGCCTACCGCCGGTTCGTTGCTCGCCGAGGCACTCCGCTTCGCATACGGTCCGATAATGCAACAACATTCAAGGCAGCAGCATCGAAGATCAGCGTTGTCTGGCTGTTCAACCCACCAGCGGCGCCGTGGCATGGTGGCTTCTTCGAGCGTCTAGTCGGAGCAGTGAAGTCCCCCCTCCGGAAAGTATTGGGCAAGGCATTTCTTGGTCCACGTGAGCTCGACACTGTTCTAGTGGAAGTGGAAGCGGTGGTCAACCGCCGCCCACTCACTCATGTGGCAGACATCGCAGACGAGCTACCCCTGACGCCAGCTATGTTGATCAGTGGAGTGTGGGGTCCTGATGGAGTCAAAGATGGTGACGCTTCGCTCACAGCCGAGCAGATGAATTCTCGCCAGCGCTATGTGAACACGATCTGCAAGCACCTCCATAACAGATGGAATCAAGAGTATCTGACGGCACTGATCGCGTATCATCAGGCTAATTCGTCGAGTGTGGCAGCGGGAGACGTGGTGCTGCTAGTGGACGACACTCGTAAGCGGCAGTCCTGGCGCCTCGCACGAGTCGAAGAAGTATTCCCAGGAAAGGGCGGCGCAGTCAGAGTAGTGCGGGTCAAAGTTGGTCAGGCATCCTTGCTGCGCCCGGTTCAGCGATTGGTACCTCTGGAGGTGACGCCGTCGCAGGAACCAACGAATGCTGCAGCCCAAGATGTATCGGGAGAGCAACCCGAGTCTGCCCCTGAGATGCCTGAAACGAGGGTCACGTGTCCGCAGGAGCAACCGCTCCCGGCCGTGCGCACCACTCGACGCGGCCGCGCTGTCCACCCTCCAGCTCGCCTTAATCTGTAATCTCTGTTAAGAGCCCTTTGGTGGGGAGTAATGTTGCGGATCCGATCAGGAAAGGGCTCTCATTCTCTCACCTCTCTTCTCACTCACGGCTTCTGTTGGAACGTTCTCCATTTGTTAGTGTTTGTCTTTGTCTACCCATATATTACTCAGTACGTCGTAATTTGACACCGCTTGAATATTCTTACCTTGCGCATTTCACCGTTTGCAACGTGGCTCCTCTGCCTCAGTTTCCGTTCTATTTCTCTGACAGGGGCAGCAACCACCCGTCTGGTGGGTGCCAGCATCTCCCGGCAGTCGCGTTGGAACTCTACAATATGTATTGTTCTTCGATGATTAGGAATCTGCCTTTCTAGCTCTTCGCCATCCGAACTATTATTTATTTGTGCTGTTTCTTGCAGCACTCGCTTTTGACCTTTTTGCATATGTCCGCGTGTGCACTGATGACATCATGCATTATTTTCGGTCACGTGTCTCGCTTCGCGCTTGCAGCTTGTCATTCAAAATGCTGGAAGTTGAAACTGCGCTCGCACTCGTCAGATTTCTTTGCTTGCTGTTTTCTTTGCCAGTCGAGCGTGGGGACGCTACGGTGTCATCCTCCTTGGCTGTGCGCCCGGTACGGGGCCGGGTACGTGCGTCCCCAGCTCTCCGTTCTTGGTTCTTTTTTCTCCTTTTGATTTTGATGCTTCAATGGAGTTTTGGTAGTTGTTGTTTGTTCGAAGACATGTGTTTCTAAACTGTTTGTGACGAGGGATCTCGCTCGACCCGTGTGTTAGTCTGACGACCTGGGACACGTGCACGTGCACGACAACTGCAGTATTCACAGAGAATACGTCTTGTTGAGCACTCTCGCTAGGCTGCTTTACTGATGCTGCGTTGAGCATCGCTCGCTACTTTTCTAGTTAGAACACTCTGGCGTGAGAGCACCAGAGTTAGCTGTCTACAGCATTGGGTACGAACTAAGTATGTAGAACAGTAGTAGGGGAATACCCCATCGTATGCACTCCTAGTTGCACCTCGGATGCACGGCTTTCCTTTTCTTGGCTAAAAATGAAAGTGGAGCGCTCTCCCGAAATGGAGCCTACAGTCCGTTTCAAAAATATAGGCGCGTGATTTCAAAAAACCGTTTGGCCAGCATCTATACCACATAAAATCTGTGATCACTTTGTACATAAATATTTCCAAATTGGGCATTTGTTATCCGATTGCATAAAAACCGATATGAGAGAATTGTGGGAAGGACTTGAGCAATATTCCGAAAACCATTCTCCAAAAGCTCCAGGCAAATTTGAAATATTTCAAAAATACAATGCGTGTATATTTTTGAAATGGACTGTAGTCGTATGTACCACCAGAAGGAGTAGTGAACATCAAGAGGGTGCCATTCAGCAATCCATGCTGGATATAAGTACCAAAAATACCATGGCCAAGTTTGCTGTTTGGGAACATTTCTTTCCTATCTCCGTTTCCCTGCTGGTGTTCCTTCGCACCTACGCTTCAAGGAAAAAAAGAAACGTTCCCACACCGGGAATCGAACCCGGGCCGCGGCGGTGAGAGCGCCGAATCCTAACCACTAGACCATATGGGACACACATGAACAGCTGCATGGAGCTCACCTGTTGTATCATTTTTTAAAGGAGAGCCTTGCGCTGCACAAGCAAGTCACCTGTTGTGTGCACACCAGCCACATGCACACCACAACGGGGTGTCAATAGGACACAAAACGGCATGAAAGGAAACAAATAAGTGCCATGTGTACTCTGTGCTTCACTTTTTTTTTTCACAGTTTACAAAATCTTGCCAATGTATGAGACTTACAAATTCATCTATGGGGTCGTCGCAAAAGTGTTTTCATCGTCCCTGAAACGAACATCATTCGTTTGGGGGGGGGGGGGGGGGGGAGGCAAAATTGCAAGTCGACCGACACTGTACATATGACATGTACATGCATGCGATTTTCGTCATCCAGCATACCAAGCTGCGTTCATTTCAGAGGGAGGGAGGGGTCCGAGTACGAAATGAACCATGTTAGTTTCAGGGACAACAAAATACTTTTGCGACGACCCCTAAGCTTGTCGAGTTGCAACTCACCATGAGTGGTGGAGTCCCTGGACTGCCGTGACATACGTTTTGCCTGTGATTTATAGGCCTGCAGTACCCTCCGGCCTCCATTGCAGTACTGTCATATCATATCCTGGTGGTCTGGTGGTTGATGACAGCAATGGACAAAGTTGCCGTAGCGTTACATTCGCAAGAACTGCCCGTTGAACTGTGAGTATAAATGATTGGATAAGTTACTGGTGAAGCAGCAGCTACACGTCAATCTCAGTCTTGGAGATAGGTAGACATGGGGCACGGTCAGTAAGCCGTTCTGCTTGCTGAGTGGACATGATACCCTCAGAAGCAGTATGCCTTTCTCTCTGAACAGCAACGCACAAGTGCACACAGACCTTGACCTTGATCTTGCCCATTGCGTACGCAATGATAGCGAATGTCGGAAAGTTCAAGTGAGGACACGAGCGCAGAACTTGGCATGTCGTTTCAGGTCTCCTGGTCGACGAAACGGGCGTCCACAGACACATAGAAGAGGATCAGGAGCGGGCCGTGGCGGTGGAGTGCTACTCGCAACTCGTCTCCAGCCGGGAAGATCTTGGCAACTCTCAAGCCAGGTGGTCACGCCGAGGTCCGCTAGGTCAGTCGACACCACATCTCGCCACCTCTTCTTCGGGCCGTGACGAGGACGGGGGGTGGGGCAGGCAGCTCGCCGAACAGCAATTGCTTCGGTGCGCGCGAGTCGTCCATCCTGCCGACGTGACCCAGCCAACGAAGCCGGTGGCGACGGATGATGCTGGTGATGTCAGGGTTCACAGACAGACAGACACACACACACACACACCCACACCCACACACCCACACACCCACACACACCCACACACACACCCACACACACCCACACACACACAGATGTTGTAAGTTTCTGCACTGCACTGTACACTGTATTGATTCTTACAGAGCCTACAAAAAGCATGGCAGCTGTGATGGCCGAGTGGTTAAGGCGTTAGACTTGAAATCTAATGGGGTCTCCCCGCGCAGGTTCGAACCCTGCTCGCAGCGTTCCATATTTTTTCTTCATTTTTTCAGTCAATTACACTGACTGCACTGAATTTGCTCAGTCCACCACCGGTGCACCACAGCCATTATTAGGGAGGTTTCGCTCTACATAATTGCGTATGAAAATAACGTTCTTGAAGCACATAGGAATTTTCATACGTAAAAATCAGCGCTGTTAGGTTCCGCTCTACTTGATTTCTCCACGACTGCTAAGCATGCCTTGCTGCTGCGGAGACGCGTTGGCTGCATGCGCCCACCGCATGCCCCGCGAACCGAAACAGCGTATTCCATTTTGTTTTCCATGTGGTGTGTACCTTGTGTTTCTCGCAGCTTGAACACTACCATGGATAAATGCGGAAAATGCGAAAAAATATTTCAAAAATCCTACGGAGGACCCAACGTAGGAAATAGCTTTCCTACGGAAATCCGTAGAGAGATTTACGTATGAAAGTTGCCCTCGCTCCCCGGCAAACATACGGACCACACTAGCGGTAACAAAAGTCCTTGACAAGTCCTACAAGTAGGGCATGTTTAATTGGTAGGATAGGAATCCAGATCCAGATCTCAGATCAGTCGGATCCTTCAGAATCAACCGAACACCGTATTTTGGACCTTGACTGCTGCCATGTTGACAAAGTAATAAAATGGCGCTCACACATCACCCAAAAGGGTGAGCGTCTTACTCATCGCGTGCGTTGTACGAAAAGTCAACAAGAGTATCTCGATCCACGTGTGTGCGTACCACAATGTGTACAAAATGATTTTTACCCGCCATATACGCACAAAGGTCACATGTGGTTTAATTGGATCCAGTCAACCGTGCTCCCCGAAGTGGGTTGACCGCATCCAAATCTGAAGGATCCGGTTGATCCGGATTCGACCAATCAAAAGGATGCGAATCCAGTGGATCCGGTTGATCTGGATCCTGATCCTACCAATCGAACATGCCCCTAGGGTGTCATCGATTGGCGAATCTGGATTGAGTGCAAGTAGGCAGTGTAGTCCGAGCAATGCTGGACCAATCGAACAAAACAAGGGTGTAGTACGCAACATGTACGCATGTCAACACCAAGATTCAGTGAAAGCTGTCCAAAATCGCCAAAAGTCCATTTCCACTCCAGCCACTCCCGGTGTGGGGGCCGCCGGTGTGGTCGGATTCCACTCCAAGTACACCTACTCCGAATTTGATCGGATTCGGCCAAACGATCATGCCACATACGTCATGTATATGCAATGTTGGTTGACAACATGTAACAAGGTGGAGACCACCGTGTTCGGAAACAGTGATACTACTACAACCTCCGTGGTTGCTAGACACATATGCATATAAATGGATAGTACTCTCACACTCCTCATGAACTACAAAACACCTCAGCTAAGTTTTATAATTATTAACTCACGTTCTTGATATCTGACAATTTTGCAGGGAAATCCACACACACACACACAAACACAAACAAACACACACACAGAAGTAATTTTTGAATTTCTTTTGAATTTTATTTCTCTCTTTCTTTCTTTCTTGCAGATCGTTCGATGAGTAACATTACGTAATTACGTGCCGGGCGTCGGCGTGACGGCGACGTCGCGGTCTCCCATGCGCAAACATATTGAAACCAAAAACAACGGGGAAAGAAAAACAACAGCTCCCGAACGCATGCCCATTTTGGCGCTGCGTACGACATACAAGCCAGCCGGTTGTACAAAACAACTACAACTAGAACGGATACGGTCTGTGGGAGACCCTTTCTTCATCATATTATAAATGACCATCCGGTATCCCCGGTATACACGGTACAGTACTCACTCGTCTTTCGATAGCGGCATAGGATAGCGTCTAGTGCACCAAGAATCTCCAGAGTGTTCAGCACGGTTATCGCCGTGTTTCTGAGGTACGGCTGTGCATGTTTAACACCTTCTTCGCCCTTGTCTAGTTTCAAGAGAGTTGGACACGATGCACTTTAAATTGGGTCTAACCGTACAGATTCTGTTGAAAGATCTTTCCAATCATCATTAGGTCTATACACTAAAGACTTGATAGTGCTGCTACGATGCAGTTCAATGAAAGTTGGGGGTCTCCTCTTAGCTGGAGGTCACCCTGGTTCATACTCAGGCTCCATGGTTCTTATGAGCGTTGACGAGCGTGTGCTTCATATTAAGTAGTCTGACTGTAGACCCGTATAGGTATGGCTTGTGGTGGAGACGTGTATCAACTCGTCTCAATACGTTTCAACATGTCATGAGAGTTAGATCAAGTCGTCAATTTATGGAGAGGGACTGACGACGATCCTCTGGGAAGAGATAGTGCACTATGTGCATGGTGCAATAGTTCAACAGCGGCTGATGAACTCAATTCATGGGAAGAGTTAGTGCACTATGTGCATGGTGCAATAGTTCAACAGCAGCTGATGAACTCAATTTATCGAAGAATGCAGCTGCTTCTCGCTGATTGGAGGAGAAGAAATGATCACCGCATGGAACAAACAGGGCTATGTATAGTGCAATGCTTCAGAACAGCATAGTCATTCTAGTCAAATCCTTACCAGAGCTATTTACGTGTTTTACAGTCTATCCCTTCAACTATGCTTATGTATATCATTAATGTTACGCCTGTGGGCGATGGCAAACTGGTGACCACACTATCGAGAGCAAGTGATGATGCGCGTAGACGGATTCTAGAGCGTGCCGAACAAATTAGAACGGCACGATTGCCGAGTGCGAGTGAGGCGGAGGAGATGTTCTGCGGTTTAAGCAGAGGCGTGTTGGAGTTGGAGGACAGGAGCGCGTACGTCCCACGTGTCAGTCTCGATTCCGGCAGGTTTGCGCAGTTCGATGACAGACAGACGTTTATGATACTAGTATCGCAACCTGCCGGAGTCAGGGAATGGCGGGCGTACGCGCTTCATGGCTCTTTGGAGCAACGGATTGGAGAAGTGATGGATGAAGATGGAAGCGGGACACTATGTTCCCCAGTCTACTATGTGGAGATGGCAGCAAGGCTAAGCGACTCGAAGTACTGTCTGAGTGATAGTCAGAAATGTAGCACGGCAATCATGGCGCCATCAGGGTGCCTGATAGTGAAGAAGACCCTGATGGTGCAAACCATACATATCTGAGAAGACGGTACAACGGTGAGCGACAACAACAGCTTGCAGGTGGAGAGCACTGAACTCCTGGACGCTCCACAGAACACGGAGGATGTTTGTGTCGATTTCCATGTGGAGCCTTCAGGAGACCCACTTGCACGCTGGTATCCGGCTCTGGATCCTGAAGATGATGATGATCAAGAACAAGAAGAAGACGAGGAAGGTTATGAAAGCCAGTAAGATATCATGTAACAGTGTTGTTATTGTTGATATTGATACTGTTCTTCTTCTGATGACGATCCTCTGCGAAGAGATAGTGCACTAGGTGCATGGTGCAATAGTTCAACAGCAGCTGATGAACTCAATTTATCGAAGAATGCAGCTGCTTCTCGCTGATTTGTGGAGAAGAAATGATCACCCCATGGAAGAAACAGGGCTATATATAGTGCAATACTTCAGAACAGCATAGTCATTCTAGTCAAATCCTTCTTAAATCTGTTTGTGTTTTTTTTCAGTCATTACCATAAATTATGCTTTACGTAATTCATGTCACCCCTCTGGGCGATAGCAAACTGGTAACCAGACTATCGAGAACAAGTGATGATGCGCGTAGACGGATTCTCGAGCATGCCGGACAAATTAGAACGGCACGATTGCTGAGTGCAAATGAGGCAGAGGAGATGTTCTGCGGTCTAAGCAGAGGCGTGTTGGAGTTGGAGGACAGGAGCGCGTATGTCCTGCGTGTGAATCTCGATTCCGGCAGGTTTGCCCAGTTTGAAGCGGCGGGAATGTTCATTGTGACGGTCATGCAACCTGCCGGAGTCAGACAATGGCGGGCGTGTGCGGTCCATGGCTCTTTGGAGCAATGGAATGGAGAAGTGATGAATGAAGAAGGAAGCGGGACACCATGTTCCCCGGTCTACTATGTGGCGATGGGAGCAAGGCTAAGCGACTCTAAGTATTGTCTGAGTGGAAGTCAGAAATGTAGCACGGCAACTATGGCACCATCAGCGTGTCTCATAGTGAAGAAGACCCTGATGGTGCACACCATCCACATTCCAGACGATGGCATAACAGTGTCGGACAACACCAGCGTGCAGACGGAGAGCACAATTCTGCCATATCACCATGCATGGCCAGTTCTTCCATATAAAGTACAGAGGTCAATCTAAAGGTCAAAGGTCAAATTTCTTAAATGGACTAGTCATCCTTATTTGATATACACAGGTCACCCCCAAAGGTTAAAGGTCAAACCAAATGTCAAAGGCATCTACCATATATGGATTATTCACCCTTATATGGCAAAGGTAAACTTTGTCCCAGAACCCCTACGGCACTATACTACTTATGCAACCCAAGTGGTCGCATGATCCACTGCCTGGCGACCACGTTGTTGCATATGCTTGGGCTATTCCACGTATTACTCGTGTATGGACGCAAAACTTTGGCGACGACCCCTGACTGCATACAGTGCGCATCCGGTCGCATGAATCACGTTTGCGCTTCGCACCATTTCGCAGCCCATGTCCGTAGGTCTAATAGGGTTGTGCAACGCCCGGCGCGTACTTGAGTGACACGACTGGATTGAGCAGCACTGCACTTTGTTCACAAAACGAGATAACCACTTTATTACTGCAGTATTCACAGAGAATACGTCTTGTTGAGCACTCTCGCTAGGCTGCTTTACTGATGCTGCGTTGAGCATCGCTCGCTACTTTTTCTAGTTAGAGCACTCTGGCGTGACAGCACCAGAGTTAGCTGTCTACAGCATTGGGTACGAACTTTTTTTGAAATGGACTGTAGTCGTATGTACCACCAGAAGGAGTAGTGAACATCAAGAGGGTGCCATTCAGCAATCCATGCTGGATATAAGTACCAAAAATACCATGGCCAAGTTTGCTGTTTGGGAACATTTCTTTCCTATCTCCGTTTCCCTGCTGGTGTTCCTTCGCACCTACGCTTCAAGGAAAAAAAGAAACGTTCCCACACCGGGAATCGAACCCGGGCCGCGGCGGTGAGAGCGCCGAATCCTAACCACTAGACCATATGGGAGACACATGAACAGCTACATGGAGCTCACCTCTTGTATCATTTTTGAAGGAGAGCCTTGCGCTGCACAAGCAACTCACCTGTTTGATGCACACCAGCCACATGCACACCACAACGGGGTGTCAATAGGACACAAAACGGCACGAAAGGAAACAAATAAGTGCCTTGTGTACTCTGTGCTTCACTTTTATTGTTCACTGTTTACAAAATCTTGCCAATGTATGAGACTTACAAATTCATCTATGGGGTCGTCGCAAAAGTTTTTTCGTCGTCCCTGAAACGAACATCATTCGTTTGGGGGGGGGGGGGGGGGGGGGGGGCAAAATTGCAAGTCGACCAACACTGTACATATGTCATGTGCATGCATGCGATTTTCGTCGTCCAGCATACCAAGCTGCGTTCATTTCAGAGGAAGGGAGGGGTCCGAGTACGAAATGAACGATGTTCGTTTCAGGGACAACAAAATACTTTTGCGACTATCCCTAAGCTTGTCGAGTTGCAACTCACCATGAGTGGTGGAGTCCCTGGACTGCCGTGGCATACGTTGCCTGTGATGTAGAGGCCTGTAGTACTAGCACTCTCCGGCCTCCAGTGCAGTACTGTCATATCATATCCTGGTGGTCTCACGGCAGATGACAGCAATGGACAAAGTTGCCGTAGCGTTACATTCGCAAGAACTGCCCGTTGAACTGTGAGTATAAATGATTGGATAAGTTACCGGTGAAGCAGCAGCTACACATCAATCTCAGTCTTGGAGATAGGTAGACATGGGGCACGGTCAGTAAGCCGTTCTGCTTGCTGAGTGGACATGATACCCTCAGAAGCAGTATGCCTTTCTCTCTGAACAGCAACGCACACGTGTGCACACAGACACACCTGTGCACACAGACACAGACACACACACACTCTCACACACACAGACACACTCACACACACAGACACAGACACAGACACACACACAGACACACACACACCTGACCTTTGACCTTTGACGCCCATCGCCGGAGGCGATGATAGCAATGCTACGGCAGAAGCCATAGCAACTTGTGCTGGGATAACACCATTCAACAGCTTGCAAGGCTGAAGAATTGACCGTCACTATTCAGCCTGGTCTACACCATACAGCTATTTGGAGTGACATTTTCGGGCCAGTGAATCCCTATTTTTGGTCTTTTCATTTTTTTTTTTTACACACACTCTCACACACACACACACACACGCACGCACACACACACACACACAGATGTTGTAGGTTCTGCACTGCATCATACGCTGTATTGATTCTTACAGTGCCTACCAAAAAGCATGGTAGCTGTGATGGCCGAGTGGTTAAGGCGTTAGACTTGAAATCTAATGGGGTCTCCCCGCGCAGGTTCGAACCCTGCTCGCAGCGTTCCATATTTTTTCTTCATTTTTTCAGTCAATTACACTGCCCACACTGAACTTGCTCAGTCCACCACCGGTGCACCACAGCCATTATTAGGGCGCGCTCGCACTGCGACCATGAGCACGCGTCCATGCGTCAGCAAAACACAGAAACGTGGCAGTCGTGCTCACACTAGGCCTCGTACACGCGTAGACGTGAAGTGGGCACACAAAGTTTACGAATTGCAGTTCGTGTCCAAAAGAATTCGTCCGTTTCCTAATAAAGTTGTGGTCCGTTTTGGATGTAATTTTTCGCGTGTTGCATGTCGGAGGAAGTGCCTCGTGGCTCGTATTCTTGAAGTGGACGAAAGTAATTCATACAATCATGTAGGTTTGGACTCTTGAGGGGCTGCCGCTGACATCCAAGCGCTTTCGCTTTCCTGACCTCGTGGTCAGAGCAAGTGCCAGTGCAGTGGAAATTCCGGTGGTGGTTTCTTTTGTGTGTTGCCGAGATGAGAACTGTATTTTCCGATGATATGTAACTGAAATGTCTTGAGGTATGGCATTCCATCATCGCAGAAAAGCAGAGAAAGATGATTTCCCAAACCGAAAAGCCAGACCAAGCTACCATCGTACTGAACGAGTACACTGTAGAAACTGGTCACTGACCCGATCAACTGACAACGAAGCAACAACAAACAAAATTGACATCGTCCAAAAAGGGCAAAGAATGCATACATGGCGGTGCATGCGTGCAAGACCACAACTACAAAAAATTTAAAATGTGCAAATGTCGAGGATGACATCGACAACCGCCGAGTTTCATGAATCAACACACCGGAATTTGAGAAATTGAACATACTTCAGGCCAGGTTGTACACAAATACGCTTCACGTCTACGATCATGTTGCCGCCAAGTCGTGGCACCCCCCTCCGGAGGTCGCGGTCACGATTTGAAACGTGGCCGCGACGTTTTGGTCGAGTTCATGCCGTTGCCATGCAACTTAGCCGCATGGCCGCTGGTTTTGGTCGCAGTGTGAGCGCACCCTCAGGGACCGATCGGGGTTACCGATTGTTTTTGCGAACCGAAAGGTTTTAGTATTTTTCAACTCCTACCCAACCACCTCTTCTGCAGGTAAAACGCAGTCCAACAAATGTTACCTTCAATCTTCGGCACCCGAAGTAACTGGGCAATATCCATGTACATTCAAAACGAAACCCCTAAAACCCACCCACCTCCAAACGAAAACATTAAAATAACTTTCGTTTTGAAATTACTATTTGGACGGCCCCTTTTTTACAAGAAGAGAAATGAGCAATGGAAGTCAAAAAAAAAAGAAATGTTCCCACACCGGGAATCGAACCCGGGCCGCGGCGGTGAGAGCGCCGAATCCTAACCACTAGACCATATGGGAGACACACAGTAGTAAATAAAGCAATAACAAAAGTCACTGAGAAGTCCTAGGGCATGTTCAATTGGTAGGATCGAGATCGGGATCCAGATCTCACATCCGTCGGATCCTTCAGAGTCAACTGAACACCTTATTCTGGACCTTGACTGTTGCCATGTTGACGAAGTAATAAAATGGCGCTCACCGGTCACCCAAAAGGGTGAAAGTCTTACTCATCGCGTGTCGTACGAAAAGTCAACAAGAGTATCTCAATCCACGTGTGTGCATACCACAATGTGTACAAAAATGATTTTTACCTGCCATATACTCACAAAGGTCACATTTGGATCCAAGTCCAAAGGATCCGGATTCGACCAATTGAAAGGGTGCGAATCCAGTGGATCCGGTCGATCTGGATCCCGATCCTACCTATCGAACATGCCCCTAGGGTGCCATCGATTGGCGAATAGATTGAATGCGAGCAGGCAGTGTGGTCCGAGCAACGCTGGCCCAATCGAACAAAACAAGGTTGTAGTACGCAAAATGTACGCATGGCGTACAAAGATTCAGTGAAAGCTGTAAAAAAAGCGCCGAAGTCCATTACAGTTTCCGAAAGTGATCCAAAAAGACCGTGGTTCGCATTTCTTGGGAGCCGTGCTCCGGGAGTTGTGTGCAGTGATTTACATTCAGCAGGAAATTGAGCTTTCACATGCACAAGTGCGTCTCCACATACACATATTTTCGCTACGAACCAGAAGCGAGTTGAGAATATTTCAATTCAATGGCATGGGTTCCAACCATCATACTGCATGCCACATACATGTATATGTATGTTGGTTGACAGCATGTAACACCGTGTTCGGAAACAGTGATCTTACTACAACGTCAGTGGTTGGTAGAGCCCTGGTCTTCACGACCATCTGAACCGTAGATCTACGGGTGTTAGACCCGCCGGTTCTGACCTTCTTTGTTCTAGGGAGTACGGTTCAGATGGTCGCAAGACCGGGGCTCTGCCAACCACGGAGGTTGTAGCAAGGCCCTCACTGTTCCCGAATACTGTCACATGCTGTCAACCAACACCATGACTGTTTCAACAAAACAAGGTTTATCTAATACCTGTATAGTGTATTCCATTATACATGTTTGCGTCGCAGCTTGGCCGGTACTACAGTCCATTCAGAAAAAGATGAGCGCTGGCTCTGGAGAGCTCCCGTGTTTGGCGATTTTGTGGTAGACCTACACTGTGCAGTGCTGCGCGATTCGAAACTTGAAAAAGGGTCCAAAAAGGCACCTCAACTGGGGTTCGAACCGCAAATGTACTGTTGTGCAAGTGGAGTGAACGGCCTGGATTTTCATGGTTTTTACCCAATTCAGTGCTTTGGGGGCAAAACCTGTCCGAAATCCTATTCTTGTTATGGCTTGCTTTTTGGAGAAATAGACATCAAAAACACAATTGGAAGAGCATTCCATGGGGGACTGCCCAATAAAATTGTGACGAAAACTCAAAATTTGACCCGTTTATGGCCAAAAGCTAGGATATCAAAAAAATATCATCTTTTTCCGAATGGACTGTAGGGTTGTTTAAGGGGGCAGACTACCCAAAAATTCGCTGAAAAATCGAATTTGTAAATTCATATTGAGTGCTACGTCAGTTGAAAGAGCATGAATAGCTGCAAATTCTCTGAAAATTGTGTCCCTATCTGACCAGCCGTTCAAGAGTTATGGCCGAAAATGTGCCCTTGCAAGGAAAGATTTTTTTGTTGCATGCTGTCATTTGTTGGCAGCACTGTATTTGAATGCGAGCAGACCGTGCGCAACTTGTCGTATTATGGAAACACGCGAAAGTGTGCAGAATTTTGCCCCAAGTCCAAAAAAGTCCAAAAAACCACGTTAAAAAACCACGTATTGGGCTGCACGGCGGCGGGCGAAGCCCGCCGCCGTGCAGCAGGACTTTTGCCAGCACCCTCGTGACGTTGCAGATATGTGGCTTGATTATTGTAGTTGACGTTGATTTAGTGACTTTGGCAAGTTTGAGTCGTGTCAAGAAGTCAGGTAGGATTCAGTACTAGGCAGTAGTGAAACGTGAGTGGCAGTCTTTGCCGGTTTCTGAGGGCATCCTGGATTTGGTGTGCAGCGCTGTGGAAATGGCTTGCTGTGGAGGTCCCAGCACTGGATGTTGTATCAAAGGTACGACCTCGTAGCACACCCTAAACCTAAAAAATTCAAAAATTGACTTGGGTCTGTGGGAGTCCGCGAGAGAACGCCCACTCGTTCCGTTGTGACAGATTCCAGGGCCACGTTGAGGGGCCCTACCCCACCACCCATGGCTGCTTCTGGACTTGTTTTAGGTTTGGGTCCCGCGCACGGACAGAATGGGCACGAAAATGTGAAAAAAATGTAAATGCATTTGTTTGGCTCCTGGGTGGCTCGCACACCGTGGCACTATGCCGGAAATTTGAGTTTTTCCGGCCTGGAAAGCCTGTCAGTGAGGCGCAAGAACTTGTAAATCATGTCCTGAGGGCCAGCATAGTGGCAGGAGTGTGTGGTCAAAATTTCACTCAAATCCACTGAGAAACACCAAAGTTACGGTCAATTGAATGCCATATGAAATTTATGGGTAGGCTGCCCCCTTAAGGGGGCAGACTACCCAAAAATTCGCTGAAAAATCGAATTTGTAAATTCATATGAGTGCTACGTCAGTTGAAAGAGCATGAATAGCTGCAAATTCTCTGAAAATTGTGTCCCTATCTGACCAGCCGTTCAAGAGTTATGGCCGAAAATGTGCCCTTGCAAGGAAAGATTTTTTTGTTGCATGCTGTCATTTGTTGGCAGCACTGTATTTGAATGTGAGCAGACCGTGCGCAACTTGTCGTATTATGGAAACACGCGAAAGTGTGCAGAATTTTGCCCCAAGTCCAAAAAAGTCCAAAAAATCACGTTAAAAAACCACGTATTGGGCTGCACGGCGGCGGGCGAAGCCCGCCGCCGTGCAGCAGGACTTTTGCCAGCACCCTCGTGACGTTGCAGATATGTGGCTTGATTATTGTAGTTGACGTTGATTTAGTGACTTTGGCAAGTTTGAGTCGTGTCAAGAAGTCAGGTAGGATTCAGTA